ACACTTACATCCACAAGTAAGATGCGGAATTGATCACAGTTGATACTTTGGGGTTTCTGAATATCCCAAGGGCACATCGAAAATTTGAGTAAGGAATGGTTTATTCTTGAAATAATGGGATAAAAGGTGCAATATTCCTGGTTTATCACTCGGTCCTTGGGCAGCCCTTAAGAGATGAAAAGCACTTGGCAAGCTAATAATATCTGCGATTGCAGTGATTAAGCTTCCCCTCAGTTGCCCCGCATCAGGACAGGTCACTGGAGCAGACCAGCTCATTCTCCAAGCCTATATTTTATACCATTTTTGTAGAGGGTTAAGTGTTCTTTGTAAAAGTTCAACAGCCTGCCCCATCAATGTGTGTCTAAAGGGTTATTTCAGAGATTGGAAAATGTGACAATTGTATATAGTAACCGGGATTAGCAAATGCTTCCGAAGGAGTCAGTGGTTTTGATTTTCTTCAAAACATGCTGCATAGGGGCACCTGGGTGGCTCAGTCGTTAAGCATCTGCCTTCGGCTCAGGTCATGATCCCAGGGTCCTGGGATCGAGCCCTGCATCAGGCTCCCTGCTCAGCAGAGAGTCTGCTTCTCCCTCTCCCTCTGCCTGCCACGCCCACTGCTTGTTCTCTCAATCAAATAAATAAATAAAATCTTTAAAAAAACAAAAACAAAAAACCATGCTGCATTGATGATTATCATGTAACTTAAAATTAAACAGACACAAAGACACTAAAAGACCGGCCCAATGCTGTGTTCAGAATTTTAGACATGACACGTCCCAGGGTGCCATGTCTACATACTGGCCGCCTGTGGACTGTGGATTGTGTCTGGCCATCCCGCTGTGGACGCTTCGGCCTGTGTGGGGCACAGCCAGGACGCATGGAGGCGGACCTCCTCAGGACCACTGCTGGTGGGGACCCTCACTTGTGTATTTTTGAACTCTCAGGGGTCGGATGACAAGTAGTATCGTCAAAGACACTCAATAAAAGCGGAAGGAAACTATTCCTCTGTTATCTTTTTTTAGTGGAAACAGCATTTACTCTTTTGTTACCTTCTGATTCTTGAGCCATGTGAATCCATCATTAAAAACTAAATATGAAGTTGAAAAAAAAAACAGTTTAGGTCTTATGGAATTGAGTTTATGTAATATACTCAAAGGGAAAAGTAATGATGTCATCGGAACTGCTTAAGAATGGAAAACATTTTTAGATCCTTTAATAAAAATATACCAGGGTACATTTTGTTCACTGGAAGAGAAGTCAGCCAGGATAATTCTAGCTTTAAAGTAGAATGTCTTGGGGCACCTGGCTGGCTCAGTCGGAGGAGCATGCGACTCTTGATCTCAGCGCTGTGCGTTGGAGCCCCACGTTGGGTGTAGAGATTACTTAAAAAATAAAAAAAGTAAAGTAGAATGTCTTTTTGGATAATTTATTTCACCTAGCTTACTTCTCTCCCTCCCTCCTTCCTCTTAGTCCTGTCCTCCCCGTCCCCCTATTTCTCTTTCTTATCTATGTAGACTTTCCCAGTCCCCTTGATATGAGAATTTCCTAACACCTGTAGCACATGCTAGACACAATCATCAAAACAAGTTTTTTTTTAAATACAGATTTTATTTATTTGTCAGAGAGAGAGAGAGAGCATAAGCAGGGGGAGCGGCAGAGGGAGAGGGAGCAGACTCCCCTGCTGAGCAGGGAGCCCCATGCAGGACTCGATCCCAGGACCCGAGCCAAAGGCAGACGCTTGCCCCACTGAGCCACCCAGGCGTCCCAAAACAAGTTTTTTGACAGGTATTTTATTTTTGGCCACACAAAGCAAATTGCTAGCAGTAATTGCATTCTGGAAAACTATGAATGACTTCCATGGGATGTGATGATTAAGATAGCCCCAAACAACCCCACGAGGCATTTTTGTCCCATACAGTCATGACCATCATTCGGGAGCAAATGGATGGCCATGGACGGCCACTAGAACCCAGGGGATTTGAATGCATCTCTAGTGCCGGTGTATTTTCTGCCTTTTCTCGTGAAGCTGCGATGTCATGTTCCCGATGAGCGTTGCTAGGTTCCTGTCGTGCACCTGTGCAGCCTGACCAAGAGTGTGGGACTGGCTGGTGGAGTGGGGTGAGGATGCTTCTCAAGAAGTTTCCCGATGGTGTGTGGGACACAGTGGGGAGAGCGAGGGGTGGGGAGGTGCCTGAGCTTCCACCTGTCCTGCGACTAAATAAGCATCTCTCGTTTGGTGCAGAGCCGAAGCCAGAGAGGGAGTGGCCCAGAAGGGGACCCTTCCTCTCCACAGCCCACCCCACCATGTGCCAGGTCTGTCCAGCAGTCTGGCTGACAAGTGGGTCTTCTTTGCTTGGCTGTGAGCTGCCCAAGGAGGAGGAGCCCGTGAGCCTGTCTTGTTGATGACGGGCCCTCAGCCCCAAGATGAGCAGGCTCAGTCAGGGTGGGTTAAAGCAATGAGCAAAGGACTGATTCAGTGAGTGAATGATTAAACTGGAGGATTTTTTTTTTTTTAAAGATTTTATTTATTTATTTGAGAGAGAGAGCACACAAGCGGGGGAGCGGCAGGCAGAGGGAGAGGGAGAAGCAGACTCCCTGCTGAGCAGGGAGCCCCATGCGGGGCTCCATCCCAGGACCCTGGGATCATGACCTGAGAGCTGAAGGCAGCCGCTTAACTGACTGAGCCACCCAGGTGCCTCACCCCCCAGAAAAATTAAACCCGAGGAACTTTAGGGATTAGCTCTTCTGAGAACATCTACATGTCCTAAGAAAGTTCTTGGAGGTGAAAACAATGAAAAAGGATGAATTTCCTCCAGGCTGCTATAGGAAGCCATCTGGGCTTCCCGGTGAGAATCCTGTTATCATTTAAGCTGTTATTTGGGAAAAAACATGTTTTGGGAAACCCAATAATTGATCATCATTTATCAGAATTTTAGAAATATCAAGTCAGTATGTTTTAAGGGAGTTCTGCTTTGTTCCAGGATAAAACGTCTGTAAATGTTAGTGCATTTCAGAAATACAACCGAACTGTTTTCTATGGTGGGTGGGCTGGGGAGGGTGGCTGGAGAAGCCATCCTGTAAGGACAGCATGTTTGCTCAGCTTCTCATGTGCAAAATCCAGTGAGGACAGGGCTCCCTGGGGGCTGCTGTAGTTGTGTTTCTTACCCTGGACTCTTGTCCTTCCTGTTTGTTCTTATAAATAACATGACTTTGCTTTTCCACTTTTTATCCCTTTCTCAGGCCATTTTCTTCTAATAATAATGCAATCATATAACAGAAGGAACCATTTACTGGGTTTCTACTCTGGGCCGGCTCTGGATCTGGGGCTTTGCGGTCTCTGTATTCAGTGGGGCAGCCCACCAGGAGGAGGGGTGCCACCCATGCTTATGACCCACACAACCTGCCCCCCCGCCCCCCCCCGTACCTCCAGAGTCAGAATCTGCAATTCAGCAAGATCATTTTAGAGTTGGAGAAGCCCTGCCTTCCAACAGTTCTCTCATGGAATTCTGATCCAACAAGAGGGGTGCAGATACTTGCACCTTCCAGCTGAGCAAATCACATCCGATTTCCGTTAAGTAACTGTTCTTGCTCAGTGGGGCAGCCCCATCTCTGGGGGGTCACTGTGGGCTCCCACCTGTCCTGCAGTGTGCTGCATGCCTTTCCAGGACAAAGCCATCTCCCCAGAGTCCCACTGTGACCACATCTACTCACCTGCTCTGTGGATCCTCATGGCTTCTCCAGTGAAGTTCAGAATCCCTAGTCTGGAAGCCAAGGCCCTCCTAGTCGGCCCCCATGCTGTCCAGCCCTTTCTTCTTCTTCTTTTTTTTTTTTTAAGATTTTATTTATTTATTTGACAGAGACAGAGACAGCGAGAGCAGGAACACAAGCAGGGGGAGTGGGAGAGGGAGAAGCAGGCTTCCGCTGAGCCGGGAGCCCGATGTTGGACTTGATCCCAGGACCCTGGGATCATGACCTGAGCCAAAGGCAGCCGCTCAACTGACTGAGGCACCCAGGCGCCCAGCCCTTTCTTCTTCTAGTTGCCAAAGCGTGGGGACCTTCCCTTCCAGGAGGACAAATCTCTCTTCCTCCATCATGTCCTGTACCTTCTGGCACACTGCCATCTCCCTGGGAGGAGGGGTGTGAGGAATCCTGAAGCCATGTGCACACAGGCCTTTTCTAGGTCAGGTGAGTTGTCTGTCTTAGGGGTGTGGGGCGGAGGGGGGCGCGCCTGGGTGGCTCAGTCCGTTAAGCGTCCGACTCTTGGTTTCAGCTCAGGTCATGATCTCAGGGTCATGAGATCAAGGCCCGCATCGGGCTCCATGCTCAGCAGGGAGTCTGCTTGGGATTCTCTCTCTCCCTCTGCCCAAACTCCACTGTCTCTCTCAAATAAAAATAAATACAATCTTTAATAGAAAGGGTGGAATGTGGGTGGGTCAGCTGCAGGTGCTGGGGGATGTGGTCCTATCACCCCCTTGGCCCACTGTGTTGAAATCAAGGCTCAGCCTGGCCACTGCTTTGGGATGTCTGCCCGCACTGGGTAGGCCCTGTCCGGCCCCCTTTCCAGCTCTGCTGTAGGCTTTGTCATGGTGCACACACCGTCCCACCTGTGGGGCAGGTGTTCACGAGGCTGTCCGCTCCTTTCCAGATTGCAGCAGTGGGACGCACGCCCTGCCTCACTAGGTGTGTCTCAGCAACACCTAGCACAGGCTCAAAGAGGGAAAAATGGACTCACTGCTTATCCACAGAGATGATCATAAAGAGCTCTCATTTTAGGGGCGCCTGGGTGGCTCAGTCAGCTAAGTGTCTGACTCTTAATTTAGACGCAGCTCATGATCTCAGGGTCATGAGATCGAGCCCCGTGTTGGGCTCTGCACTGAAGGTGGGGCCTGCTTAAGGTTCTCTCTCTCCTTCTGCCCCTTCCCGGCTTGTGCTCTCTACAAAAAATATGGCATATTAATAGAAAATTTGAGGTCTAGTAAGGCCAACAGATCAAGAGACAATTGCCATGGAAAAGATAGTTTATTACTCACCATTCCCAAGAGAAGGGGCATATCATACCACGGGGGGCCACATGGGGACGTACCAGGGTTGGTCAGGAGGTCGGGGGAGGGGATGCGGTCAGAAGCCTTTATTGTGGTTTTCATGGATGGAACAGGCCAGGCAGGATAGACAGGCCTAGGATCAGCTGGTCTGAATAATTTCAGCAGGCTCTGGGGTATAAAGGCTGTCCCTATCTCTCTGGCACCTCGCCCTGGGACAGTTAGGCCTGGTGGAAGGTAGCCCAGAGTGTGACAGCCCAGTAAAGGTGGTGCTTAAGGGGGCGGTGTGTCCTCTGGACTGGTTGGTTTGCATTTGAAAAGCATGCTTGGGGGTGAGCTGTCTCTAGGAATTGGCTGACCCTGGGAGGTGCAGCCCCTCCAGGGTCAGCAAGGCCCCGGATGTCAAAGCACCAGAATACAGAAAATAAAAGATAGGGTTTATACCCTTGACCCTTAGAACGTCTCTCTGGTTATGTGATGCTCAGGCTGATGGCAACCTCCATGAACCTGTCTATCCTGGCATCTGTCTTCCTGGACCATTGGCCGCAGCTGAATCTGTTGGGGTTCGGTGAGGGTGTCAGATAGAAGACTCACATGGGATCACAATGTTGGGTTCGCCACCTCTCCCATGTCCTTTAGGGAGTTCTGGGGCTGTAATGTGCTGAGAAGCACCAGTGGGCTCCAGAAGGGCACACTTGTACAGAAACAGGTGCCCTCTCTCAGTATGTTGTCACGTGTTGGGGACAGAGCCTTTCTAGGTGGCCAGGCTTCACGAAGGGTGGGGCGCTCCTATGAGGCAGTCTGAAGGCTGAGGGGCAGCATGGATGCTGTTAACCCTTTGCAGGGAAAATATGTATACCTTTTAGTTCAACTTCTGTTGAAAAATACTTTCTGATCCAAATACTATGATATTTGCAGTCTTGATCCTCATAAGCAACCCAGAGAGGCAGAAAGGCCTTTTATTACCAGTTCCATTCCAAAGTGACAGTGAAGCTCAGTGAGGCCGCTGCATTGGCCAGGGGACGTGGGAGGTGCCATCCGGGTCTGTCCCTCTTCGCCCGTGGTGCTCTCCTCAACACACAGCCTCCATGGACAGCAGCGGTGAGAGCTAGAGCCTTAGTCTGAACGCTCTGGTTTTCAGTGCAAAACACCCTCTGGTTCCAAAAGGAGGTAATTTTGCAGGGACTTTGGCAAGGGTAACAGGGGTACGAGGTGAAAGCACTTTTTGCCAAGTAATTTCCGAATGGCGCAGCGGCCAAGATGCTGCAGACAGCGTGGGGTGTGGGCCAAGGCGAAGAAAGACTGGTAGAAGGCCTGGTGCATCTGGAAGGAAGGCAGATGGAACATAAACCCGAGCACACGGACCCGACAGCCAGAAGACCCCACGTGTGCAGTGCCCTCCACCAAGAGGGTGTGTATATTTTTCGGAGGTGCAGTTCCTGTGGGGGTCTGAGGGAAGTCCGTTTTGGGTGGTAAGACAGATAACACAGGTTAATCTCCTCACATCCCTCTCTGCTCCCCCCCGCACAGCGCATTTGCTGTTGAGCCATGTGCACAGAACTCAAGTCAATGAGACATGAGGGGAAATCTTCTAGAGGCTTCTGGGAAAAAAGTGCCCTGTTTCTTAATCGACGGTGACTGTGGACTCTGTTGGGTACATATGTGGTGCCTGCCGCTGTGTCGGCCACATCTAAGCTCTCACGGGGAGGAGGCGGACACGTAGGAGCAGAGTCTGCGGCGCCCACCCTTCTCTGGGGGGATGGGGTTACTCAAGCCCTGATGCTCCTCAAGCCGAGCCGGGTGGGTCAGGTTTCTGCTCCTTGCAGCCAATAGCATCCCAACTGTAACAACAGCTCTTGGCTGCATGATTCCTCCTGAGGAAAACCAGCGATGCTCAGTTATGCTTCTACGCTTTCCCTTTCTCTGTCCTTCTTCAGATGCTCTACAGTTCCCTGGGGATAGTGTCTAGGCGCACATGGGGGTGAGCAGAAGCACAAGGCTCTTGTACTGAGGGCAAGGAAGGGCGGCTCCCTTACCTGAAATACTTCCTCAGGAATCACTTCCCTCCAGGACTCGGACACGCGGAGCTGAGGGTAGGCGTTGAACAGAGTCTCAATAACTGTGGGAGCCTGGGCACAGGTCTTCAGCACCTGGTTGGAGGTGGTGGGAGACCAAGCTCACATTGACTGGGTTTTGGGTTCAGGTGGGGGAAGGGCCAGCAGATATGGCGGTGTGTTTGGGTCTCACTTCTGTCACTTCCTGGCCGTGGGACTGAGGACAGTGGGGCCATGGGAGTTAGTTCCCAAAAAGCACAAGGCAGCACTCTGGGAGGGGCCCTGTCTTAGCGCCATGATGGCTGCACGTCCCAAGTCTGGGCTTAGGAATGGCTTGCTCATTCCTGTGCCCAGGAGCTGAGTGCCCAGAGCTCCATGGGCTCTCCTGGCCTCTGCATTGCTGCTCAGAGCAAAGGGGAAAGTTTGGTCCAAGGATGGTGTTTGTAATTTCTTATCTCAACTTTCTAATATGTCAGGACAGTGAGGGAGAAGGATTGCTTTGCTGTTGAATTTCCTCCTGGCTTGGCCTTTCTATTTTATTTTCCGTTCCCACTGGCAAAGGATTCGTTTTCTTATTAGCAAGTTTTACAATTCAGCCTCATCAGTTTCATCATGAAGATGAGAACACTATTTGCTTTTTTTAAAAAATAAATTTCTTGTGATGGTGAATGTCAGTGAGCACAAAAGTAGACCCAATGGTATGATGACCTCCCTGTACCCACCATCAACCCATGGCCAGTCCCATGCCATCCACACCCCCGTCACCTCCCCCAGGACTATTTTAAAGCCAATGCAATGGGTCCTGTCATTTCATCTGTAAATATTTCAGTGGGACTCTTGTAGGACACTTTAGGAGAAACACAACATCCCATATAAGACCTGAGAAATTAACAAGTTTCTTAGCATCTTCTAATATATGGCCAGTGTTTAAATTCACAAATTTCTCTTAAATGCCATTATATGAAAAAAAAAATTGTTTGAATAAGAACCCAAGTAAAGGCCAACAGGGTTGAGATTGGTCAATGTATTATCAGAGCTCTCATTTTTGTGTCATGTTATTTATTTGTTGAAGAAACCGGGTTATTTGTCCAGCAGAGTTTCTCAGTGTTGGGATTTTGCTCCTGGTATTGCTGTAGGGTTTTGGAACATGATGCTCTTTGTCTACTTTTTATAAATTCATAGTTGGATTGGGAAGATTGATCAAATTCAGATTTGATTTTGGGGAGGGGCAGGGCAACTTTATAGTCTTCTGTTTTTGAGGTTTAAGATTTACCAAGTGTTGTAAAATTAGTATTTCTTCATTGAGAAAACTGAGGTTAAGCAATTTTCTTAGGATCAGGCACCAAATATCTATAGCAGACAATTAACAGGCAGGCCCAACAGCTGAGCTCACTGGGGCTCTCTGAACAAAGTCAAATAGAAGACAGACCTAAATCACTCAGTATGGTTGCTCCATTCACAACTTGCTGAGTTCCCTTCAGATATGAAACCCTTTTTAAATATATTAAAACAAAACAGGAAATTAATATCTCTTTGTTTAGAGATAAGCACTATTAGCATTTTATATATACTAATGTTTTATGCATTTAGACAAAAAATTAATATATACAGTAAAAGTGGACTGATACTTTGCCTATTATTTTGAAACTTGATTTTTGTCCACTCAAAATCGATTGTGAACAATTCAGAAATTACAAATGAGCATTTCAACATCATTTCAGGAGCCATATATTTTATGAATATATTATAATGTATTCAATGAAGTGACTATTGTAAATGGATGTTATAAACAATGAACACTCTTGAATATAATTCTATCTCTTTCTGCCTCCAACAATTCTTATTTAGATAACAAGATAAATCTGTCCCCTTCTCACACTGAATTCCTGGAAGTAGAAATGTAGGGTCAAGGATTATGTACATTTTAAAGGTTTTTAAAACATACTGTCAAATTGTAAGTTTGTAAATGATCACAACTTTTTGAAGAAATGAGTATGAGAGTGTCTCTTTCTCCCCTACCCAAATCATCTCATTAATTATTTAAATTTGATAGATACAATATGGAATATTTACATTTTTGTTGACCATTTGTCTTCCTTTATAAATTGCTAAATTATGTCTTTTGCTCAGTTTTTCTATAGTATGTTCATTTTCTTTAGTAATTTGTAAATACACTTTATTAAGGTTATTTTTTAGTCAGTCATATTTTTTTAGATTTTATTTATTTTTTTGATGCTTAACAACTGAGCCACCCAGGCTCCCCACAGAGAGTCATTTTTACAAATAACAGTATCTTCTCCTCTCAGTATAAATATTTCACATTTATTTTTCTTGTCTTATTACATTGACCAGAGCTTTAAAGTTCAATGCTAAAGATTTGTTTATTTACGAGAGAGACAGATATATCAAGCACATGTGTGGGCAGGGAGAGGGGCAGTGGGAGAGAATCTTTAAACAGACTCCCCACTGAGCTCAGAGCGCGGCCAGGGGCTCCATCTCACAACCCTGAGATCATGACCTGAGCCAAAACCAAGAGTCAGATGCTTAACCAAATGAGCCACCCAGGCGCTCCTAAAGTTCAATGTTAAATAACAATACTGATAGCAGGCATCATCATCTTATTCCTAATTTTTAAAAATATTTTATTTATTTATTTGACAGAAAGAGACACAGCGAGAGAGGGAACACAAGCAGGGGGAGTGGGAGAGGGAGAAGCAGGCTTCCCGCGGAGCAGGGAGCCCAATGCGGGGCTCGATC